TTGGCAGAGTAGCTTTTTTTTTTTTTTTTGGTTGCACTTGTTTTCTTCTATGTGATTGTCCTTGTTGTTGCTGTCTCCTTCATAGATGGTTGTCATTTAAAAATATGATGAGATGAAGTTGACTCTACTTATATTTTGCCTCCCCTGGTTCCTCTTCTCCCCTCACTAACAATGCTAATGACATTATGAAATAAAACCTTTCCATTTTTTACACCTTTTTTGATAACTTATTTTAAACCTAGTGATGTCATCACTGGGTTCCTTTGCTTCTCTATGTAATGCCATGGGCATAAAATGGCTGGTTGGAGGGGCCGACAGGGCTCTGCACAGAGCTTCCTAAAGACATCATAGCACCCTGCCTCTATACTCCTCCTGAGTACTGATGCAAGCATTAGCTGGCTCTTGGGAAGAGGTATCAAAATACCTTGATGGGTGGATGTTAGTCTACAAGATTAGACATTCACAGGCAGATTGCAATTGCCTGCAGACCACCCTAGGTAAAGCAGCGGGTCAGGGACAGTCAAACATTATCCATTATCTAGTCTTTTATCCATTATTATCCATTATCTAGTCTTTTATCCATTATTATCCATTATCTAGTCTTTTCCTGGGGAGGAAAAGACTAGATAATGGATATCCTTGTAGTACAATAGATAGACCTGTATAACTGTGCAAGACTGGAGGTAAGGAGCTTAGCCTCAATATTGCTTCAGTTTTGTATTGTTATTGATATCTAATCTGATCCAATACAGTGGCTGCTACTCATGTTTGTCTCCTTCTAGGTCCCTGTATCAGTGTGTTCTACAGATTGTCCTCCAGGTAAAAGAAGAGTCCAAGAGACAGGGATGCCTCTGTGCTGCTTTTACTGTGTTCATTGTCCGAAGGGGGAGATATCCAATCATACAGGTAGGTTGTTTTCTTTGCTGATTAGTTCATTATGCTCATGAAAAGACCCGCCATCATGAATGTATTGTGTGAAGCTCCTAAGATGGTAGATTAGCCCCTAAGATTATGTGTGTGGAGTGCATAATCAGGATACAACATTGTACATCCTCATTAAACAGTAAAGGTTTTGGTAGCTGAATCAGATGGAACTGCTGGTAAAAGATCTGTCGTTCCTCATTTCTTCTCCCTGACTAGGGGAATGCTTGCATCCGGCATGTGCACAGTGAATGAAGTATACTTTGTTCTGTAGAGAAGCATGAGAAAATGGGGACACATGGAAGCCATCAAAATGCATTGCCTTCTACTGTATGTGGAAATAAATACTTTGATTAAACTCTCAAGAAACAGTATAGCACCCTAATCTTTGTCTTTGTGAAATAGTTATCTTATGACAGGTTTCCATGAAATGTACATTTTATAACAGCTTCTTTATCTTTATAGACAAAGGTTCGTGCCAGAAGTGTCCAGCAGACCAGTGGCCAAATGACTTCAACCAATGTGTACCAAAACCTGTTGATTTCCTCTCCTATACAAATACTCCGGTGACTCTTTCCATTCTTCTTATTACTGTTTTTTTTTCTGTTATAACCACATTAATATCGATCATCTTCTTTATGTATCGAAACACGCCTGTCATCAGAGCTAATAACCGAGACTTGAGTATCATTCTTCTGGTCTCCATCATGCTGAGCTTCCTCTCTGTGTTTTTATTTCTGGGTCGTCCTGTGCATATAACATGCATGCTTCGTCATACAGTCTACGGGGTCCTCTTCTCAGTAGCAGTCTCCTCCATTCTGGCCAAGACTATGCTGGTCTACATGGCCTTCAAAGCCACCAAACCTGGGACCTCCTGGAAGAAGTTCATTGGAGTAAAGATTCAGATCTATCCGGTTCTCATTTGTTCTTTATTCCAAATTGTAACCAGTATAATCTGGCTGTCTGTCTCTCCCCCCTTCCCTGAAGCCAATACTGACTTGTATCTGGACAGAATCATCATTCAGTGTAATGAAGGATCTGTACTGGCATTTTCCATCCTCTTGGGCTACATGGGGCTTCTAGCAGCTGTGAGCTTTATTGTGGCTTTCCTGGTCAGGAATTTGCCAGATAGTTTCAATGAGGCCAAATACATCACCTTCAGCATGCTGGTGTTCTGCAGCGTCTGGATCACTTTTATCCCGGCCTATCTGAGCGTTACAGGAACGAACACAATGCTTGTGGAGATATTTGCCATCATATCGTCCAGTGCTGGGACTTTAGCTTGTATTTTTTTTCCAAAATGTTATATTGTATTGGTGAGACCAGATTTGAACTTAAAAAGAAATATAATGAAACAAATGAATCAGAGATAGAACCTTTATAGACACTAGGAAGGTAATATAAATAAGCATACAAGATTTCTTTGTGAGGTATTTAAATTGCTGATGAATATTCCAGTAAGCCAAAAGGCGTAATATATATATACTGTACATAATATACGTGGGATTTCTAGAAAGCTAGCGATATAATGAGCTTTGGGTCATGGGAGGAGCTTTAGTATATGTCCTCCCCTGACCAGGGCCAGTGCTAGACTATTTTGCGCCCTAGGCAAGACCAGCTACTTGCACCCCCCCCCCAGCACCCCTCCCACAGTGCAACCCCCATTCCCCACCCGCAGCCCTATTCTCCTGCCGGCTAGTAATTTAATTTGAAATAGTCAATAGCAGGCTGGCTATTAAAACCCCACCCACTGAGCAGAGGAACGGACCTGAGAGAGAAAGTTGTCTCTCAGTTCCGTTCCTCTTCTTTCCTAGGCAGCTGCCTAGTTTGCCTAGTGGTAGCACCGGCCCTACCCGTGACCCTAAAGAGAACTATGGGGAAAAACACTGACCCATTGGTTCTCTTTTAAGCTTTGCATCCTTATGTGAGAGCTGCTCCTCTAATGCCTGGTGAGGGAGTCCTGAAACACCTGTACAACTGTATATAGGGGAGTCAATGTTATTTATAAAACCAAAGGGTGGACACACCAAATATTGATTTTAATTTAGGCTTTTTCTGCTTATGCACGTTATTGGTTGTTTTCAGACATTTGTGAAGACAACCAAGAACTGAACAGGCACCAGAATTTGCATGACTGTGCCACCTCTAAGCTGACATCTCTTTCCATCAAGTAGATGGTGACCCTGGCATGATGCCTCAACAAAAATGGTGCCACCCTTCTGGAATGTTTAGGGGGAGCGTTATGATCTTTGTGAGAGGTAATAAGTATCTGCAAGTGCAAGTGTATCACTGTCTTACCATTATAATTTTGATTCTAGGACTCAGGGGTGTCAAACTCAATTTAATTGTGGGCCGCATCAACATTATGGTTGCCCTCAAAGGTATCTGTGAGACTATATAAATGTATCCAATCTTTATCATAATTGCCTCTGCATTCGATTATCACTGGTTTTAGTAACAATTTAATACCCAGATCTGAAAGTAGGAGTCTAGGAAATGGCCTGGTGGGCCGGATTTGGCCCCTGGGCCTTGAGTTTGACACACGTGTTCTAGGTAAAACCTCCATAAAAACGTATGGTGAAAAAATGTCTGGATTTTGGTGCATTTTTTACATCACAAAGAAAATCACGGGGTGTAGGTTGTATTAATTGTTGGAAATGTACATACTCATTTCTAATCCCGTCTTAATATCAGTCTTCCTAATAGTGTTAATCGATAAATATGATAAAAGCGCCTGCATGTGCAGGGCAGTAATCTAGAGAAATCAATCGGCTGTTAAACCACAATAAGCATTTAACAAAAAAAAAAAACCCCAATAGGAAATGTAGGTGGAATTATTCATGCACATCAAGATGATGCCACCCAGATTGGGTTGGGCTTAACCTTAGTTGGCCACTATGAGGTCATTCAGCTTCGTTGGCAAACTTTTTGGGACAGAAAAACCACAGCATGTTATTTTCTGGTGTCTACAAAATGATCTGGGATGTTTTTTTACTTATAAGTATCAGGTTTTAGTTAATCACGTGGATTTTTAACCCCAAAAGGTTGTACATTGTACAGTGAATTGTTCTTGCACCTGACACTCACAAATCTGAACATAATCTCCAACCTTTAACACTACCAAACCCCTAACCCTAAGCCCTTCTCCAGGCAAGCACCCCCCTCCCCTCCCCCCATCCTTTCAACCTGCTCCCACCCATTTACAAACTTCTTTTTAAACTTAAAACAAACTTCACAAGATTAATGTGAAGGGGGTTCCTGGTGTGAAGGGGGCTCCTGATGAGAAGAAGGCTCCTGATGTGAAGGGGACTCCTGATGTGAAGGGGGCTCCTGATGTGATGGGGGCTCCTGATGTGAAGGTGGACTCCTGATGTGAAGGTGGACTCCTGATGTGAAGGTGGACTCCTGATGTGAAGGTGGCTCCTGATGTGAAGGGGGCTCCTGATGTAAAGGGGGCTCCTGATGTAAAGGGAACTTCTGATGTGAAGGGGGCTCCTGGTGTTAAGGGGGCTCCTGATGTGAAGGGGGCTCCTGATGTGACGGGGGCTCCTGAAGTGAAGGGGGCTCCTGATGTGAAGGGGGCTCCTGATGTGAAGAGAGCTTCTGATGTGAAGGGGACTTCTGATGTGAAGGGGGCTCCTGAAGAGAGGGCTTCTGATGTGAAGGGGGCTCCTGAAGTGAAGGGGGCTTCTGATGTGAAGGGGGCTCCTGGTGTGAAGGGGGCTCCTGGTGTGAAGGGGGCTCCTGGTGTGAAGGGGGCTCCTGATGTGAAGGGTGGAACTCCACGTCATTTTTTCTTTTTTGCTTTGTTGCATGGGGTCCCCTCTTAAAATCCATAACATTCCCCTATCTAGGAAGATCTGGGTGCCTCCAGAATTTTCATACTTTTAAAAGGTGTCATGACTGAAAAAAGCCTAAGAAACACTACAGCACCTCTTCCAGGAATGAAGCTCAGTTATCCACCTCTGCAGTCTGGACTGGTCTTGTTGTCATCCCTCGTCGCCACTGGAATCTTTAGGATTCTTCAAGAACCTAAATATGGAATGCCTATGGGAAGGGTACGTGTCACCAGGCACAGATATGGGCATAAAATGAAGTACCCTCTCACTCTATAGTCTAGGAGAAAGAAGATTCGGGACACGGCACACCACATGATCACAGGCTCAGTTAAGTATTTAGGTTATTCTTTTTTGTTTTGTTTATTCCTTTGGTGATTATCTAGACCAGTGGTTCTCAACCTGTGTAACCTCTGGACCCACATTTGTCCTTGGTCATTAAGTTGTGACCCAAGTCGCACTGCAATGGAACAAACGGTATTGCGGTACCGCGGGTTCTGGTGTGGGGGACTGAACTGTGGGCGGTGCGTTTGGGTTGCCATTCAAATGAATGGCAAGGCAATGCACCTTCTGCACCAGAACGTGTAGTAGGTGCGATTGCGTTGTACAGTACATTAATGGCACAGGACTGTCCGATTAACGCACTGTACTAGCTCCATCCATGCGTGCATTGCTTATACAGCTTCCTTGCGCACCCTGTAGAGGTGCCGGGAACCAGAATATGACCACACTCTGGTCCAGGCACCTCTATAGGACACATGAGGGAGCTGTAAGCAATGCACATATGGATGGAGCTCCCTAGCGGGCAATGCTCCAGCCCACCCTGCCTCAAGCTGACATTCAGCGCTGGACAGCATATTTTGAATGGCAGTTTGGCGTGAGAACTGACAGTGCTGCGCTAGGGGGAGGCTGAGAAGCCTCTCGCCTAGAAAAGTGGAAGGCATGTGGCGACCCACTGAACACGGGGTCGCGACCCACCTTTGGGTCACGACCCACCAGTTGAGAGCCAAGGATCTAGAGTGGTAAGTGAGGGGAAAGTAAAGTTTAGTGAGGGGTAAGTTCTAGGCTGGAAAACAGCTTTAAAAAGGAACCAAAACGTTGCCCACACTGGAGCATATACTGCACTGGACTGCCTCCCTCTTTCAGATGCCAGACCACCCAAGCGTCTTGTGTACATTTTGAAATATTGAGCCTGTTAAATCTGTGTATGATCCCTCTGTTCCATGAGACAGCTTTAGAGCCTCGTTTTTGGCCACTCAGACTCCAAATTCTGCATTGACGGTAGGCGGGGGAGTATCACATGTTGCTCAACACCTAGAAGAACCTCTCCAAAGTGACCAAAATCATCTCTTAGTTTTAACCAGAACAAATGTCTCCGCTAGAAGATTTACCTCAACCATTCCGGTTCTGTTGACAACTCAAAATGTTGGATTTTCCCATCATGTTCTGTTGTGACTAGAACGAATAGAGAGGGTGACTCTGCCCAGCGGGGACACAACCATAACAACCTAACAGGGTCTCCATGCTTTGATAGTAATTCCTGATTTTGGAGGCCCTTGGGTGGTCTCTTTTGATGTTAGAGCCTGTTCCGGTTTGAATTGTATTGAACATTGGTCTTGAAGCCCATGTGCTGTATTCGTAGTCTGGCTTTTACAATCACCAATAAAAATTAAGTCTAAAAACAGGTTCTAATCCCTCACTACAAGATCCAAAAAAAAGCTTGTTATAAAATGATTCGACTTTGGGAACAGGATTCATAAATGTATGCCAATAATATTATATTCATAGTCATTGCTTATTATTAATATGATAATATATTATTCATAAATAGATTATTTATTCTCACTGAAAGACTCTAATTGATGTCCATCATCTTCACCTAACATGAGTTTACCGAATACCTATCTAAACCGGTTATTATCCTGCTGATCATTTCCTGTCAATGATCTATACCAGGGGTGCCCACAATTTTGTGTGTTAAGATCTACTTTTCAAATGACGAGCTACATGAGATCTACCAACGAAAAAAACCCTCCCTAGCTCTCTCTCTCCTAGCTGTTATTCCTCGTTTTCTCTCCTGGCTGTCTCTCCTTGTTCTCTTTCCTGGCTGTCTCTCCCCTCTCTCCTGGCTGTCTCTCCTCTCTCTCTTTCCTGGCTGCCTCTCTTTGCTCTCTGTTCTACCAGCATCAGCTCTGAGAGCTACTGCTAGATCACCATCTACCTACTGGGCACCCCTGATCTATAGACATGTTTGCTTCATACACCAAGGGCTCTGGATGTGCATTAGGGGACATAAAGGAATGATTTGCACGGCTCCACCTACGGTCCTGAAATGAGGAATGCTCCTCTTATTTTGGGGATATGTGACGGAATGAGACATGTGAATACCTTCTGTCCGAAGACTGGTAGACTGAGTATATTGGAGGGCTTTTTGAGTCCTTCAGTCCCTTCTCATCATAACCTGAATGGTGATAATGTCTCAGTTAACAATCTGTAAGAGAAGTTGGTGCGATGTTGGGTGTGTGAGCAGGGCCGGA